GGTTTGGTAATGTCCAAGCTTTATCGTCCGATAAACTCAACTTGCTCCGTACAAGAAGAACGTCGATGAGTTTGAACTTGGCTGTCTCTTTTATGATACTTTTCGTTGTTTATTAGTTAATGGGTGGAAGTAAGCTGGACCTTGCATAATAGCTGCGAACGCCACTTAGGTGCAGTTGTCCTACCCCAGCCAGCCATAAAGAGGTGGCGGAGCAATCACAGCTGGTTTAAGTGGAGGTTGGAAGACACAGCATAACGAGGTTATGAGCGCTTGTCTCGGTCATGAGGGTTTTCTTCAGGAGATGTTCACGTCGCTGTGTCCTGTAATCTCATGAGGATTGCGGTTCTCTCAAGACAACCTTCAAGAATAGTATTTGTCTTGTAGTCCTCGTATATCACATGTCATTCTTGTTCTCTTGTGGAGACGCCCATAGCTGCGCAAAGAGCTAACTCAGCCGCCAATCTGGCGTAAGCTTCAATTGGTATACGTTTCTTACGTCACTGTGCAGTCTCACCATTCCAAGGTTCCGAGTTCGTATTCCTGAATATCACTACCACCTTCATTTCTTACCCAAAACCTGAGACGGCCAAATTCTCAACAGTCTCAACAAGGCCCTTCTTTCTCTTGAGAGCGGCAGGCAAAATTCCGTGTCTGATACAGTGTATTCACTAAAATTCAGCCCACCAACACAAGCTCAACTTGAGCTCTGGGCAGCTACAGCTTGTCCTCTCCCATACCCTTCAGCTTCACATACCTAGCTTCAACTCCCAAGATGTCGTCCAACGAAAAGACTCAACTTGATAAGGACAAGTTGAAGGAGAAACTTGAACAGAAATTCGATCTCTCTCACTTCGATCCTAACACCGTAATACGTGGCGCTCAGCTCACTCTGGTGGGAGGTGAGTACCACTATATTGGCATCATGCCGTTTGTCCATTATTGACCACAACAACATAGCTCATCGAGCATTACAGAATCCGGCACTCTTCACAACCGACCACTATCGTCAAGCTGCCATTGCAGTTGTGGCAGGCCTCGCTATTAGACTAATAGTCACGATACCTGTAAGTCTCACTACCAGTATGAGCAGAAAAGCAACCATACTGATTGCAGTATCAGATTGTCGGGGTCAAAGTATTATTATGGTTCATTTCATTATTTGTATCTCTTGATGCCGTCACATGGGACGATACTCTGGTCGGCGGGCTTGACTTTGTCGCAGAATATGTCCTACAAGTCCCCTTCTTCCTCATGGCTCTCATGCGTTATGTTGTACCAACCCTCGATAACCTGTAAGTCAAGCACGAAACATTACGGAACCCATGACAGTATCTGACCATCCGCAAATAGCTTCATGCAGTCACTGCAATGGGTTGATATGACCTATGTTCAAAAGCACCGGGGTGAAAAGCCCTCAGAGCTTCGGGAAATGTATTATCCTAACCTCAAGATGTACCGCCCGTCCGACGGAAGTACGCATTCCGAGAGTACCGCTCAGGCTGTCTCCATGTTTCTCTACCGTTTCCTTCGCAAGGGTGGTATTTCTCTAGCTGTTTTTGCACTCTCATACACACCATATATAGGTCGATTTGTCCTGCCCGCGGCCAGTTTTTACACCTTCAACAACGCCGTGGGCTTGGGACCGGCTTCAATTATCTTTGGCACAGGCATTTTACTCCCTCGAAGGTATCTGGTCATCTTCCTCCAGACCTACTTCTCTTCCAGAAGTTTAATGCGAGAGTTGCTTGAACCATACTTCGCTCGTGTTCACTTTACAAAGGATCAAAAGCGAAACTGGTTCCGCAGTCGCGAGGGAGTTCTGTTCGGCTTTGGTCTGGGATTCTACATCCTTGTCAGAATTCCTCTGGTAGGCGTACTCGTCTATGGCATTGCCGAAGCATCCACCGCATACCTGATCACCAAGATCACTGACCCACCGCCTCCCCCTCAGCAGATGAAGGAGTTTGCGGAAGGACAGCAGAATTGGTCAAACAAACATGAGTTCTTAAACCTTTCACTAGCCAACATTGACTCAGTCCATAACCCTGAGTTCTCTAAAAAGGCTAATTGAATGGCAAAAACGTCGTCTTCGATGTGCCCGAACGGAAAGCAGCTACCCGGTTGAGCATATGGCCTCCTATCATCCGGAATCAATTACCAGAATGAATGTGTAATGAATCATATTCTTATTCAAAGTCAAAGAACCATCCCAATGCTTCCTTGCAGGGGCATAGAATATCGGGAATTGGTCCTGTGAGTTCTGTTGCTGTGCTGGGCGGGATGGAACAATCGAAATCGTCGCAGGCAAACGCTTAGGAGACAACGTCAACAAGTCTCTTCAGACATCCTTTGAGAAGCAATACCGGCCATTACCCAAGTTTTGCGTCAGGCATCCAATGAACAACACAATTTTCTCATGACAATTGTACCAATAGATACCTCAAATTCAACCATGTCAAGACAATCCTTTTCGCTGCATCTCACCATCTGTCTGACCGATTTGGGTCACTTTGAATAACCTCACCGGTGCGCAATGGTTGCAAATAAATGTATTGTCTCGGTGATTGAAGCGCTATCAATGTTCAAGAAACTCAACAAACTACTTGAAATGTCTAAAAGTACTGAGACCCATCAAAAGTTTGATGCCTCTATCGTCCTCCTCACCAGTCCGGAATAATCGAGAACCTCTCATGAGCAGTATCTGCACTATGCTGCCTCATAACCTTGTCACCTTGGCCGATGAAATCACATCCAGGTGTGTCGCACTTCCGGAGCACGTTGTCACCTTCGTCTTGGATTTCACTCAGATCCACATGCCCTGTTAGTTCTGCGTGTTTCTGCCCTTCGCGCTGGCCGCTGCCTATCCAGTCACATCCAGGCACATCACATCGTAGAATCAATCCTTCCGTGTCAGTGTAGTAGTGCGCCTTGTTAAGTTTCTGAACGAGCTCTCGGGTCTTTTCGAGTACCTCATCGTCATCAGTCGGCCAAACAGTTCGATCCATCTCAGGGGGGTAAGTAGGCGAGTCATGTGGGTAGTCAGACAGGCTGAAGGCGACTCGGTCATAGTGAATTCCTGAATAGACAAGAATACAGCGATCTCTCTTATCCTCTCCGAAATTGATCAAGTTTTGGGCCTGGGATCGTCAATGTCAGTAAGGAGCCGCACAGCAAAATATCTCGACTAACCTGGACATCAAACGTGCAGATCTGGATATCGAAGATGGAGGACAAGATGCTCAGTTCAATACCGCCTCCCCATCGATCAGGGTCTTGAATACTGCGGCAATATTGGCTAGGAGGACTACCGAGGACAGCTTCTGAGTAATCCTTGGGATGTTCCACAATGTAGTCTGCCATCATCCTTCTCAACCGCTGAGCGGGGATCTGATCTTGCAAGGCGCCGCCAAAAGCTGTGAATAAACAGCTGTTATCGCTGGGCATCACTCTTAGAACTTTGTGTCGTCAACATTAATAGTCTTTCTCTTAGTCAACAAAAGGTTATCACTTACGTAGGGTTCCACCCTGTTCTGGCCACGGAACGTTGACATCTTCTGGGCTCTCATTCCTTTTTGTTGCTCGAGATGCCATTGCTTGATGTTGGGCAGTGCCAGTTTGAACCGGCGCAATAGGTGCGGGTGGTGGTACGTCCTCGGGTACAATGGTGAGTGTCTCACCATGAAGACCAAGAGATCGAGCAATTTGATCACTCTGACTAGCTTCAAGAGCCTTCATAGCCATAGGCGGACCATATTTTACACCAAAGTTGGCAATTCCTGTCTTGGCTCGAAGTTCATCAAATAGCACTTTAACAGTGGCATCATCGGGTATCTCGATAGTACCGGTACCGGCTGGACCTTTATAACGAGCTCGCATGACGATGAATATGTGCAAGGGCTCAAGGTTAAGATGACGATTTCTTGAGTTTTGTTGCTTCGGATAGCAGTTGATTAATGTGCTTAGATGAAAGTTGTTCGAGGTGAGTGAGGGAGGGGCTGCTCTACTTTGAGGCGAGGAATTGAAAGGAAGCACCAAGAAAGGGAGGCACTGAATCCGTTTTAAGCTGTTTTTGGAACAATAATAAAATAGGTCTCCGAGCTTGAGTGATAAAAATCCAAATCTGTGTAAATGAATCACAAAAATTATAAGGCTTAATAGAGCCTGAGTGAATCAATGATATGGATGAAAGCTGGCACCAACATCTCAACCATGTGTTAGGTGCCAATTGGGACCCGCTTTATGGAATCGCACAGTCGCTCTAACCAATTACGGTACGGGAAGTCGCGCGCAAATGCACGCGCTCTCCAGGGCAGTCGCACTTTCAATCAAGCTCAGGAACAGTACATACTCTTGAATTACAGCTTCCTCACGCTGCCGTGATTGCGCAGCACAACCTGTCTCAGCAACAGAATACCACAACATAGCTTAAATTGACGAACGCGAATAGTACGCGCCGTTCCTCGATTACAGCCGCATTGCGATCGGACCCAAGTGGTCTCACGAGCCTATCATGTCCAGTCGGAGGGCGAACGCGCCAGAGGTGCGCGAATCGATAGAAGCGAAAACAGCCTCCGTGGACGTCGAGATGAGGCATACACCGGACGATGATGTCGATGCCGAAGGCGACCCTGACGTAGATATGGACGCGGAAGGTGACGAAGATGCCGAAGGTGAAGAGGATGCAGAAGGTGAGGTGGACGATGAAGGCCGTCCCGATATGTATCGCTTGATCCATAATCTCTCGACCTATCTATGCAGTGTTGAAGACGAGTATGCTTCCCCTCTCGTATGTAGGAGAGGATTGGGTGATTCTGACAGAGTTATAGTGGCGAGCACCTTGCTGCTGGCTTCCAGCGCATCCCCAATAGACGAACATTGCCCGATTATTTCGAAATCATCCCCGAGCCCATTGCTTTCAGTACCATCCGAGTAGGTTTTCTGCAGTCTTGGTAGTCGGCATTTGAATCATTGACCAAAATGATAGGGCAAAACTCAGAAGAAGCAATACGGCTCATTTGCCGAGTTCGTCAAGGATGTTGCGCAAATCTGTCACAACGCCCAAGTTTACAACCGCCCCTCCGCTCCTATTTTCGGTGCCGCAGTTCGTCTTCGGGAGATTCTTGTCCAAGAACTCAAGAAACTGGTAGAAAAGAGCCACATCAATGCCAATGATGCACAATTGCCGGATCTTGGCGAATTACCTCCTGCGGAAGAGTCTCCACCAGCAGAGGACGACGACGAAGAGGAGGAAGACGAGGAGGATGATGAAGATGAAGATGAGGACGAAGATGATGACTCGGACGATGAAGGCGGACGACGCAGGGGACGAAGACGACGTGGCGCTGGTCGAAAAGATCAGGACAAAGACTACGAAGATGATTCACACAAACGAAGAGGCCGACCTCCAAGTGTTCTTACGCCAAACGAAGCCCGAATCGCCTCACTATTGAAGGGATTACGAAAGCCTAAGGACGCTGGAGGAAATCTCCTTGTTCATCCTTTTGAGAAGCTACCAGACAAAGCAGCTGTCCCCGATTACTATACAACGATACTAAACCCCATTGCTCTTGACAACATCAAGAAAAAGGCCAAGCGGAAGAAGTATCAAAGCATCGACCATGTACTTCAGGACCTCAATCTCATGTTTGAGAATGCCAAGCGGTATAATGAGGATGACAGCGAAGTGTACAAGGCCGCGGTTGAGCTACAGAAGGAGGCCATCTTTTTAGCTGAACAGGAGAAGGCCAAACCCGATGACGATTTCCGAGACGAAGACGGAAAGTTACCGTTGGCAGAGATCCAACATAACGGGCAGCCCTGGAAAGTTGGTACGTACATTTTGGGGATATCATCGTGTAATGCGTCCCCTGTGTTGTCACGCCACTAACATGAATATAGGTGATTGGGTTCACATCAGAAATCCTAACGATCTGGCCAAACCCACCGTGGCGCAAATCTATCGAACTTGGCAAGACCGCGCTGGCCAACGATGGATCAATGCCTGCTGGTACTACCGACCAGAGCAGACAGTGCATCGATATGAGAAGCATTTCTTCGAGCATGAAGTCGTCAAGACAGGGCAATATCGGGATCATCAAATTGAAGAGGTCTTGGATCGATGCTTTGTCATGTTCGTGACACGCTTCAATAAAGGGCGACCTCGAGGATTTCCTCTGGACAAGGAGATTTATGTGTGTGAATCACGCTATAACGAGGAAAAATTCACATTCAACAAGATCAAAACGTGGGCAAGTTGTGTCCCAGATGAGGTGCGCGAGAAGGACTATGAAATGGACCTCTTTGATGTGCCTCGACGCATGAAGAAGATTCCCAGCCCTATCAAGCATTTGCTCCGCGAAGATGCAAAGGAGACAGATGAGCTCCCCAAGCCAACATGGGGAAGCCCAAATGCCCCGCCTATTGTCGGAGCTGTACATCGCCGTAAACGGGAGGCTAATGTAAGTGAAGCGCATTTGTCTTTTCTTTTCTTCTGTCCTGTCATGCCATGCCATGATTCGGCTGGCCGCCATTGCATTCGTTATCAGCAAACGAACGCCCTGCAGGATCCCTGCCCACGGACGCCTTTTTTTCCCTCTCAGCTTCAACGCCTGCTTCTTGGCCGTGATTCGTGCCTCAGGCTTTCATTCGTCTCACTTTATTGTCGTACGCAACTAATCATAACTTTCTAGGAATCACCACCGCCAGTGCCCACCCCTCCGCCGCAAGCCATGTCGGCGGTCCCACTTCCTGATGCTGGCGCTGATTCTGGCCGGCGCGCTTCAATGTTGTCAGTGCCTGGTGGCATACCTGGTGATCATTCTGGGAGGCATCCTTCGATATCCTATCCTGGGGGCCCTTCACCTTCGCCTGTTCAGTACAATGCTCATATGACACCTCACTTTCAGCCCGTCACTCCTGGGGCCCAGCCCGCACAAGTTCAACAGACTCCAGTCCCTATCCCACATCAACCTCACCTGGGTGCTCAGCCTCAGGTGTCTGTACGACCTGTGCAATATCAACACCAACCTCAGCACTCACAGGCAGGGTTTGCACAAGGATTCGCCCCTAACTATGCGCAATCGGTGCCTCCTATCCATCAACAAACACCTATGCCAAACCACATGACCCAGGTATACAACCCAGTGCAGGCCACTCCTGTCGCTCGCAGTCCTATGCCGGCTGGTCCAGGGATGCCTATGCAGGGTGGCAATGTGTACAACCCACCAAGACCACCAGAGGTCTACGCACTTCCCGACAATATGAACGATGCCATGCCAAAGGAGTTGCGAGAGGCATTTCAACATGATAGTTCTGGTCGAGTTCTCTTCTTCACTGCTCCTCCCCTCGACAGGCCCCACAAGGGCATCTCACACGAAAGTGCTGGCCTAGGACACAGTGCCAAATATCTCGCTGGGCGGAAAGAATGGTTGGCCGACAGAGAGAGGAAGAGGAAGGAGCGCGATGAGCAGATCGGGAGCAACTCAAACAAGAAACTCGAAAAAGATGCAGCAGATGCGCGCGAAGCGAAGAAAGAGATCGTTGCACAGGCCAGTGATGCCATGGTCAAGTGGTTGGGACAATACAATGAGGATACCCAGAAGTGGAAAGAGAAGGCAGGGCTTGAAGGTTGGCGTGAGGTGAAGCCAGCCAACAAAGAAAATGGCACTGTTTGAGACTAGTGAGCAGCAGTTGGGGAACAAACATGGATTAAAGGCGCCCAGGTATCCTATTCAAGATCAAGAGGGCGAAAACTAGGTTAACTTTCTGTGTGTTAGGATTGGAGTAATGGCTAAATTCACCAAATAATATCTTCGAACGATTCTGAGACAATGTGTGGTATTGGACTGTACTGATCGACTGACGAGGTGTCCCTTTCATCTGCATCAGAGACTTCCCGGCTGGCCAGATGACTTTGGCTCTTTGTTGGCCTTTCAACTAGCTGTTAGCAAGCCATGTGGCCAGAGTTCTTTTTCGTCAAGTTGGCCATGTCTTGCCTTCGCGATCTAGATTTGTAGTCCACCACGAGACGCTGAACGTTGCCCACATAAAGCAGCGAGACTGTAAAATCACTGCTATGGGTCGGGAATGTGTTACGAAGCTCGTAAGCCCTAATCGGAAAGCTGATGACGAGTCGCTTGACATTTCATTTTGGGATGTGGTCAGGGCCGTGGCAGATTGCCGGAATGATCGTTGATACTGAATATCTGACTGCCTGGCATGCAGCCTTGAACAAATTTGCTGGGGCGGACTGGTCCTCGTTTGAGCACACTATAGGCCTCGTGCATCATGTTTGTGCCATCTCTACCCTAGGCTCGTTGGCCACTGTCTTCTTCCGTCCATGTCCGAGTTCGAACATGACCCATTCGTAAACCGCCCATTGAACAGCATTCACTATGAAAGCTCGCACGCTACAGACAGTCAACCCTCTGAAGAAAACACGAGAACCTCCCTCCTGGTACGCCTCACGTGCGACTTGTATTGCGCCAGCCCGTTTGGTTCGTGACGCTACGTTAGGTTGTAGAAGGGGTGCTGTTTCTGCTTGTCCGCCAAGGGTCTGGGTCTGGACTCTAGTTTTGATAACATCGAGTGGAAATATGCTCGCCCAAGTTGCGACACCAGCTAGTCCTCCGCAGAGGAGAACTTTGGCGGCCTCATGTTGCAGCGAGGTTTCTTCGCCCTGTTCCGTGGCCAGCCAACGAGTAGTCAGCTCGTAGGACCAGAAGTAAAAGCCATAACCAACACTATCCCGGATAGCAGTTACAGTTCCGCCGAAGTAAAGCCCTCGAGCGCCTTCGTTTTTCCAGATATCCTTAGTGATAGCCCAGCTTGAGATTGGGGAGGATGCCAGCTGCGCTCTGCACTTGATCAGTTCGGTGGGGGTGCTAACGACCCAAGTTGCAAAACCGCCCACCGCGCCAGCTAGCCAGGTATTCCATAAGTTTCCAGATGTTGAGAATACGTTATTTAATGCCGCCTCCGTTCGGTTGTAAGAAACGAAGAGCAGGGCGTTTAGAGCACCATAACCGAGAATTGGTGCTGCAGTTCCGGTCACCAAGGAGGCGTATGATCCGAGATATCGTGTGCTAAAAGATGCACTCTGATTAATGGCTGAAGCTGCCGCCGTTGTTCCTGTAGGGATCGAACAAACAGGCGGGTTCGTCACTGGGCTGGTATGTTGTGCTTGAAGTCGTACTTTGATCACATCAAGAGGATTTCCGATAATAATTCCAACAGCACCACTCAGATAACCAGCCCAGAAATCGGCCGACATTATGAGACTATTTCTGTAGACTCTATAGGCGAGAGAAGAGGATCGATATTCCTTGAGACCTTACGCTGAGCCACAGTGATAGTGCTCAAGACGCCGAGGTAGACGAGGCCCCAGGCCAAACCGAGCCGTGCAAGAGGAGCTCGATTTGCAGTAGCTTGTACATTAATTCGACGAAATCGAGTGAGATATTGCCAATGCGCAAAGTGTCCAGCAACAGTTGCAGTCAAAATTCCAGTGCGATGTTGAGCAATTGCTACTTGAAGAGGGGTCGGTCCAGAGGATTGACGGTCGGCAAAAGTATCCCCACCGGCCGATCGGCTTTGATCGGAGTTGGAGAGATTGACGCTTGAAGGCATGTGTTAGTGACCCAGGGTCTTTCAGAGCCGCATACTGAGAAAGGAGAAGGATCAGCGATGACCTACCCTGACGACGTTGCAACAAATGGGCTTTCAGTTATCATCTTTGGGTGATGTTTGGCTGAGTGAGATGGATAAGAAGAAAAGGAGAAAGGGAGAAGATATATTCCTTGCCACCAGTTTCGGTCCCATCATGAACCGAACGATAAACTTGATTCTTCGACCGATTCCCGATGGATCCAATGTTACCTAAGCTAGTGGAGGCTTTAAGTCCAAGCTTTCGGCGGTTTCGGGGCCTTGCCGGGATGGAATTGTAAGTTAAAGCTAGTGGCGGCTCACGTGATAGCGTGTTTCTGCCTGCCGTCGCGTCGAGTCACTGACATCGCGCTTGCCTATTTACCCTTCATTGATTCTTGTTGGGGTGGCAAGAGATCCTTTACACCTTGAACAATCTCTTCAGAAGTCTTTGAAACGATAAGACATTCAAGATGGGAGCAGTGTGAGTGTCAGGACGCCTTTGCTCGTTGTTGCAAGCTCTAATACTCAATTCAGGTCACCTCTCGTCGCGACGCCACTTGCCGGCAAGGACAAAAATCCAGGCAAGCGAATGCCAACGCCTTCGTCAATTGACCGTCTTCATAAACCATTCAAATGCCCCGGTGTCGCTGGAAGAAGTCCGGCTGTTGATCGACCGTCCCGCAAGCGAAGAAAGGTTGATTATGGTGGTGCCGACGGCGAAGCAGATAATGATAAACCCTACTCCAACGACGACAGGCTTGCGCTTGCCACTCGAGACATCAACCGATTTCCAGTTTTCCAGGCCAAAGATAAAGGTCTTGTTTTTCGCAAGGCCTTTTCTGTACCATTGAAGAACAAGGACAGCGCTGCATACAATCCCAATCGTGCCCCTCCTACTTTGGGTCTCCGACAAGGTGCAGTCTTCATTGCGAAGCCGCTACACGACCCCAGTGGTGAATTCGCAATTGTTCTTCATGACCCAACAGTCGACGACAAACCAAAAGATGTCCCCAAGGCTATTGAGCCCGCCAAGACTGAGACTGCTGATGGGAAACCTGACGCCCCACTCGTACATAAGAGTCTTGCTGAGATTCTCGGAATCAAGAAGAAGGTGGACGGTGAACACCCTCGGGTTCCAGTCGTGATTGACCCGAAGCTGGCCAAGATCCTTCGTCCCCATCAAGTTGAAGGTGTCAAGTTTATGTATCGGTGTGTTACTGGTCTGATTGATGAAAAGGCCAATGGCTGCATTATGGCCGACGAAATGGGTCTAGGAAAGACTCTTCAGTGCATCTCTCTGATGTGGACACTACTCAAGCAATCCCCCGATGCTGGAAAGCCAACAATTCAGAAAGCAATCGTTGTTTGTCCAGCCAGTTTGGTCAAGAATTGGGCCAATGAGTTGACGAAGTGGCTTGGGGCTAATGCCATTAACCCATTCGCCATCGATGGAAAGGCCTCTAAAGAAGAACTGACGCGTCAACTTCGACAATGGGCAATTGCTAGCGGTCGAGCCGTTACCAGGCCAGTCATCATTGTTTCCTACGAAACTTTGCGATTGAATGTCGAGGAGCTGAAGCACACAAAGATCGGCCTGCTTTTCTGTGATGAGGGTCATCGTCTCAAGAATAGTGACAGCAATACCTTCAATGCTCTCAACAGTCTCAATGTTTCGCGGCGTGTCATTCTTACAGGCACACCCATCCAGAATGATCTCACGGAGTATTTCTCGCTCACAAGTTTTGCAAACCCTGATCTGCTCGGCACACGGCTGGAGTTTCGCAAACGCTACGAGATTCCAATTCTCCGAGGCCGAGATGCTGCTGCGTCAGAGGAAGATCGTAAGAAGGGCGATGAGTGCACTGCGGCATTGCTCAGTGTTGTCAACAAGTTCTTGATTCGCCGTACAAACGACATTCTTTCCAAGTACTTGCCCGTCAAGTACGAGCACGTTGTGTTCTGTAACCTTGCACCCTTCCAGTTTGACCTCTACAACTACTTTATCAAGAGTCCTGACATCCAGGCTCTCCTGAGAGGCAAGGGAAGTCAGCCTTTGAAGGCCATCAACATTCTCAAGAAGCTCTGCAACCATCCTGATCTTTTGAACATGGCGGATGATCTGCCAGGCTCAGAGCAGTGCTTCCCAGACGACTATGTACCCAAGGAATCCCGTGGTCGAGATCGCGAGATCAAGTCCTGGTATTCAGGCAAAATGGCTGTGTTGGACCGCATGCTGGCTCGCATCCGCCAAGATACAAACGATAAGATTGTGTTGATTAGCAACTATACTTCGACACTGGATCTCTTTGAGCGAATGTGTCGCTCTCGTCAGTATGGATGCTTGCGACTCGACGGAACCATGAACGTGAACAAGCGTCAGAAGCTTGTCGATCGGTTCAACGACCCTGAAGGTGACGAATTCGTCTTCCTACTGAGCAGCAAGGCTGGTGGGTGTGGTATCAATCTTATCGGCGCGAACCGCCTGGTGCTATTCGATCCCGATTGGAACCCGGCTGCTGATCAACAGGCGCTTGCCCGAGTGTGGCGTGATGGACAAAAGAAGGACTGCTTCGTGTACCGCTTCATCGCAACGGGCACTATCGAGGAGAAGATCTTCCAGCGCCAGTCTCACAAACAAAGTTTGTCTTCTTGCGTTGTCGACTCGGCGGAAGATGTTGAACGGCATTTCTCTCTCGACAGTCTCCGGGAGCTTTTCCAGTATCGGCCAGATACCAAGAGCGACACTCATGAGACGTTCAAGTGCAAGCGGTGTAAGCCTGATGGCAAGCAGTATATCAAGGCGCCGGCCATGCTGTATGGTGATACCAGTACATGGAACCATTTTGTCAACGAGGGACTGAAGCCCATCCAGGACTTGCTCTTGAGGCAAGAATGTGGAGAGTCCGAGGTTTCTGCTGTTTTCCAGTACATTTCTCATTAAGTTGTCAGCTGTGTCTTTGATGATTCATGTTCACGAGGCATGCAGGGCGTTATTGTGGATTAGCGATATTGGAGGGTCATTATCTGTTTTAAGGAGTTTCATGCCAGACCTGTTTAGGTAGACAGGCTTCACTGCAAAGTGCATTTAGATGGTAAAGCACTGGTAGAATACAAATTACTATAAGACACCCAGAGCGCATTGGGTTTTGTACCAATTCTCCGTGCATTGCGTCGTGAGATCTCCATCATCAAAACACAAGTTCGTGGGCAATCATCCTGTCGTAACAGAAGTGATACTCGTCTCGAGTTTTATCCGATACAATGACCTTGAAGAACTGGTAAACTTATCTAGACGTTTCGACCTACTCTATATCATGGTTTCTATCATGTTCGCCATGAGAGACCGATACAGTGCTCATGACTGATACTCTTATTTTCGCACTGTAAAGAATTTGCTAGCTAAAGTTTTAGTCTTTCTGACCAAGTTGAGCCTTGAGATTCACAACCTCAACAATCGCATCGCTACGACTGGTCAAATCAGAGCAATCCGGCTACTCTCCATCAAACACATCAAAATGTCTTCCAAGCCTACCAACCAGTCCTCACCGGAGTTTACATCCTACTACCTCCAACGCGCAACACAAGAGCTCTCAGAAGACCTTGACAAGGTTCGCAACGCGGAGGACTTCAAGGCCGATTCCATCCCTTTCCTTGTTCACGCTCTGCAACAGGGTGCGGGTCTTTTCTCTCCTGAGGACCAGAAGAGAGTGGTGGCTGCACCAAAGGCCAAGGACGGGGACGCGTAAGCAGACTGTATATACGCAGTCCAGATCATTTCAGTCAACTACGTGAACGCGCGAAAGTAATTCAGATCCGCCTGTCTGCAACATATGGATCTGTGGGAACCATTCTTCACTGTTTCCCACGAGACAAGGACATGTCAAAGCACAAATATAGACGTCTTTGTTGACAGACAGAAAGCCGTTCTAAAGACACCAAGAACGCACGACACTGCACCCTAACGCACCACGGCATGTTCGTCAAACCAACCAAAGAGAGCAAAGTCGGAATCAGAAATTAGGTCAATAGCGCTCGTTATTTCATAAGGGTATCTCAAAGCAGAGCCAACACTGCATCAAGCGCGCAATACAATCAATCTATCTATACGTCTGTTTCCCACCGGGGCCGAATTACGGCAGCATGGTCATTCCCTCCTCTTCAACAGTATGCTTATATGTACGGTTTAGTTCGAGTTACGACGTCGTTCGAGTCGCACAGCCCATCCCTTGATGGCGAGGACGATAACGACCCAGGCCATCAAGAGGGCGACCAGGCCCATGGTGACAGTGTACATGAACATGGCGTCGAGTTCGTAGTGGATCATTCCGTCGACAGTATCAGTGCTCTAATTTGAGTTAGCATTTGGGACCTTTTGCCAGAACAGGTGACATACACTAGCCATGAAGATGATGCCTCCAGCGATCAATCCAAAAGCAGCCAGGAGTTCCGTGGGGGGTCGTGATGGGAAAATGGACTTTGGTGGCTTCAGGTACATGACGAAGTAGGTCAAACCTCGAGCAAGGGAAGCTCCTAGAAGGAGATCACCCCATTGCTTGTGAACCATGCTGGACATCATGGTATGCTGTGTGTGGGAGCTCATCATGAGTCCAAGCAGCATGATGACCAAAGCTGGTATGGGGTTGAGCGAGAACTCGTATGTGTCAGGAGACTCATATTCGTTTGCTTCTTCGACCGAGTAAGGGCTCTTGGGTTGAACTTGGTCCACGGTTGTGTTGAGAAGATGGCGAATGCGTGTCGACTCGATGAGCATACCGCACTAAAGAAACAACAGTCAGTTTTGTTCTGGGAAATTGACTGGAACAGATCATTAGACTTACCAAGCCCCCTCCAATGAACAGAACCGTGATGGAGATGTGCTCCATGTCCTGGGCGGTCCAGTCTCCTCCCCAGCCGCCAAGGTGCTCCATGAAGATATTGGTAGCACCATAGAAGAAGATCAAGAAGCTCTCGACGAACTCAGCGGAAGGACGCCACTTCTGGGAGTTCTTCCTTGGGCGAACATTCCATGCCCAGCCAAGCTCTCCAAAGCTGCCAGTCCAGCGACCAAGAGTGAAGATGCCTAGCCAGAAGAAGACGCCGCCCTTGATCCAATGCGCCAAACCATTGAAGATTCCGCCCCCCTCCTGTGGACGGTTTGTTAGTCAAAGTGTCACAACCAAGGTATCTGCTAGCAACTTACAAAGAAGCGACCAAAGGTGACAACACCAGTAGCAAGCGCAATGAAGCCGAAAGGAAGGATAATGCGATCGACTATGCAGCGACCAATGTTGAGATACTTCCATACTCGCGAAGCAGCAATCTTGGAGGCGTGACGAGCAAATGTTCCCTGAGGTTCAGGAGAGGCTAGTGACAATTCCTCCAGGCCACCATCGTCGTCTTCGTACTCCTTCCTGGGGTTGTTGACAGGCGATTCCAAGCCATTGAGAGTAGATGCTGAGTCGCTTCGAAGCGAAGGTGTGTTTGGTTCGGTTCCTCGACCACTGTCGTTGGAAATTCGGTAGGGGCTGTCACTGTGGTAGCCATTGTGCGAAGAGTAGTCGGCTTCTCGTGTCGCAACAGGTAGAAACGCATGTCTCTCGTTGCTCGACGTCTTTCCTTTGCCCTTGAGAACTCCCGCGATACAGCCTACAGCACTTACAAGGACCTGGGCGCAAACGACCCAAGTCACGATCCAGCCAATCTTGTGGTGCGCATTGTTTGGATACAAGTCTGGGGTCTGGGCATTGTATACCACGCCGACCAAGACTCCAAGAGCATTTGTAGCTAGGAAGACAAATTGCGCCGGTAGTGTAAAGCGAGAGTTTGCCAGAGAGAACATGACGGCTGGGGTTGGTTGTGTTAGTCGGCGCATAAGGCTCAACACCATGAAGACTCACCAATTGGTAGAATAAAAACCCAAGAAAGAACCATTAATGCGATATGGGTGTAAATAACTCCCGTATGTTCAGTATGCGCAAAGTATGTATCGGGATAGTCCTCGTCTTTGGGCGGTTGTGTGGTTGTGTTGCCGCCATGGCCCATTCCCATGCCCATGTCCACACTTTCACCACCTCCATGCGCAATTACCACAGGTAGAAGCGCCAAAAGCAATGCACCAGATGCGTGCGATATCATTTTTGTATAAATCATACTTGCAACGTCCAGAGAGATTTGTTTGTGCAAGGAAACAATAGATGCAGCGAAACAAGACAAGACAGCTGGCCGAGAAGCGGTCGCAAGCAGTAATTATACCATGTACAGCCAGAAAGGCACAAGGAGGAGGATATAATCATGCGATCAAGTAGACGTCAAAACGAAGAGTGTTTCAAGGAATCATGACATGGCATTGCTTTAAAACAAACCCTTCTCTGCTATTACTATCGGGCCCGAGCGGCCGAAAACAGGTCATAAGCTGAGCCATTGGAATCTCTTGGTCAGTCGGAGACAAAGCGACGAGAGCCAAGAGAGGATACGCAGCAGTTGACCATCCGAGGCTTCCGAATTGCTTCATCATGGAAGTTGTACCTTTACTTTTCGACAGAAAACAACACAACCAAAAAAAAGATGCGGTAAGCATTTGGATAGTGGGGGATCCTCAAAATGGGGCCGGCCGGTGGGGGGGGGGGGGGGGGGGGGGGGAGCCAGATCATCAGGTCAGGCTCTTGATCAACGTGGTCCGCGGGCAGCATGTACATACTGTACTACATTTGAGGGTCTGTTAGTTCCGAATAGTTGCCTTTTTAGTTTGTTCATGGTCAAACGTGATCGATCGATCGGCACGGAAACTTTAGAAAAGGCATCTTCTCGAAGAACGTCAAGGCATTTCGGCGGAGATGAAGTGGATATCACAGGCTATGGATACTCTTCCATTCCTATTCTCACCGAGCATCAGTGATACTCAGTTGCCCACAGAGATCATTAATTACTGGTCACAACAAGTTGTATGTTGTAAGTTGCTGCAAGCATCGCAACCCTTCACCACGTTGGGTTACCACCATTACATGCACCTCCACTCGGATCCGATAAACGGGCAGTCCGACTGACTAGTCACTCACTGGCTGGCTTACATGTGAATTACGAATATTCAGTTATAAGCTCTACATGTACTAACTGTGGCTCTTCATCCATCACTCAAAACTTATTGTTGCACAGACTGATATTGAGCAAAATGCCGAAATCCACATGAGAGCTCTCGTTTTTACAGGCATTGTCTTTATCATGCATCATGGAGAGCTTTAATGCCGGCAGCTATGGCGCTAGTTACCTCATCCCGCTGTAAAGTAGAGCTACGGCTTCATTCATTGGATATAACGGATTCAACTTCGTTGATGTGTATAATCCCGGTCCAGCATCTCCACCCAGGTTCAACCCAACTACGCCGACAATTCCGCACACTTTCTCTTCAGCTTTGGCTTAAGAAGTTTTTACGCCTGTGCAGTGTAAACGATAAGGCTGGGTATGACGTCTAGAGTCGTCAAATATATTCGTTTAGGGCTGACGAAGAAGTATGTATAATGACAGCGTACTGTATGAATGGATGTATGTATGTATGTGATACGCTTTGTACGCGCTATTGCAGCCGAGCGGGAACTTTTCACGGAAACTTCCCTCATGGACATCGATGGCTGCGGATGATTCATACCGAAGTGTCTTGGCAATATCTGATCTCTGATCAAGATCAGGATCAAGAAATGGAACTGTATGTCTGAGCACTACCTTACGGCATTTTCAGGCTTTTATCATTATCTCCGTCTCCGTGGACCCGATGAATCCGGTCAAGCAGACAGACGCATTCCATTAAACAGGGTCACAACCCACCAACCTAACCTCGAGCTGTCAAAATGGTCACACGGCGTCACATAACCATGCTCATGAGCAAGGAAGGGCGTAAAAGTCGGTTGTAGAATACAAGGGTCATGAGAAGGAATATTTGCTCAAGCTGGGCTGTTTTGGAGTACCACCATGACATTAGATTTCCCCGTCCGCTGACAAATTGCCTCGGTTCACAGCACACAACTCTGCTAAATAGGTGCATAAGCAGATACTTTCTCATACCCATCTCGGACAGAATTATCGGATCGTTATGATGTGCTGGCTCACCGCCCGCTTAGTTGTCGTGTCTATGGTGCTGGTGCTGACTTGCATCCATCGTGTGTATAGTAGTATTACACCCAAAAGAGTCAGCTGTCTTGGGTTACAACCCGAGCCAGCAAATAAGAGTCAGCAAAATGATCTCGCCAAGAACGGTAACTCGTGGCCAACTTGTCTCCGTTTCTCAGGTATACGCTGGTCTTTACGTATGCTATACGCCAAGATTTCACGAATCTACTCCCGAACACTCCGTAGCAGTTTGAGTCCTCAAGATGCAATCAACGATCAAGCATGTATCATCGAGCTCTTTTTACGATTTGTCGTATGATATTCGGACAAAATTGGACCGTTCGTGACTGCATGAAACGTACCTCTAAACGACGGGTTTAATGTTGCAGTCTCATGCACGGAGGACTACTCTTGTACTGTACTTACATGGGGAGCTTGGGATCTGATGTGACGACATTGCATTGCATCCCAGTCTCCGCAATCGGCCGGACTGAAGCTGTAGCATTACAGTATCAAGAGTATGTGCTTACACTTCAACATTATCAGTCATGTCACTTGTTGAAAATGTGGCCAACACTGTTAGTTTGTTTGATAGAGTGGCTGCGTTAGTGGACAGGGGTGTGATCCCAAAACCAAACCCCAGTTGGCGATCCCCACCAGTCACTCAGTCAAGTCAATCCCACCCATATGATGCTCGCTAAAATATTCATCACATCAAGACTTGGATGATGTGAAGATCCGACGCTGCCGAAAACCCTGCCTCATCTCGCTAGTTTACAATACAAACTTGCTACAAAACTCAGCTCTTGGCATGACCAAATCATGCCGCAAGCCCATCTTGTTTAAAAGTCCGTAATCCCGAGCAAATACGGTTCCTCTCAACGGCCTTCCAGGTAATGATGAATACCAACTTTATTACGGCAATTCGGAAATACACCGCTGACTCACTATGGCCTCTCCGTCATCCACTATAGCCCGATCTCATAGAGAAGCCCTGCCATCAGCCAGCATCTTCCATTGATCGCCATCATGAGCTATACGACCCTCGCTCTCTAGCTTTCCCAGTATCTGCAAAACACCACCACGAGCCGCTGGATGCAGATTCTGGGGCACATCCTTGTAAATCACCTCGACCAAATCTGTCGCTGTCCATGCCGACCATAATGCAGATTCTTGAGTTTCCACTTCACCAGGTCCCGTCTTCAACGTCTGAATGACCTGATCTTCTCGTTGTTTTCGATGTGTGATATACTCGGCAATCTTTGCTGGCCCGTTCTCAAGGACCGGTCCATGTCCAGGGTATGCTCGGCCTTTGAACAGAGGTTTCATTTCTTCTAGACTTCGTAGATATGTGACCAGCTCCTCGAATACGGCAGTTCCATGACCGAGGACGTTGTCGGCTGTGAACATTGCGTCTTCTTCCTCAAGAACGAAAACCATATGATCCTTGGTATGTCCTGGCGTATACGCTGCTGTCAATGTAGCGCCATCGACTTGGAAGCGCTGTCCGTGCTTGATTTCATGTTGCCCTTCCTCGGGAGTATGCTTGAAGATTCTCGTCTGGGGTGAGATACTCAACAGATCCTTGATACCACCTGTATGATCATGATGCCAGTGCGTAATGAGCGCGGTATCTATAGTCGCATTCTCCTGCTGTAGAGTGTCGCGAATAGATGAGATCCAAGCATTGCGACCCTCGCCTGTGTCAATGAGAAGCCGGCTGCGACCTGTACCGAGAAGATATGTGTTGGTGCCTTGTAGAGTGAATTTGCCTGGATTGCCGCCCAAAATGCGAATGACGGTAGGACTGAGACGTTCTACAGCTGGCAGTGCAATTAGTTGAGTTGCCATGATATCTGAGTTGCTGGTTATATCCAAGGAGGAGGAACGGAGACCCGTATATGGACGAAACTCTCGGTGCTGATCGGGAGGGGTCCGGAGCCGGGTGCCGCAAGTCGGAGCCGGGAGTTCGGTAGACAGTGGAGACTTTGAGCCCCCGTTTCTAGTCAAATAAGCTCAAAGATTAAAGGCGGTTGTATAAGTTTAGGATGAAAGGTGAAGAATAGGAAAAAGATATTGATCTACAAGAGTGAAAGAGGGAGCTGGCTGTCGTCATCCGGCAATCGAAACTGCTTATTGAATGGAGAATGAATAAACCTCGGCACGAACGGTGCTCCTCTTCTAAGTGCATATTGTAGTGACGGAGGGAGATACCATAATAAGCATCACTTTACAAATCCTAGGAATGTTGGGTATACTCCTATTTAATACTACAGGTTAGGTGCTATAATCGAGTTATCAGATACAGTTAAAATCATCTTCAAGTAACTATCAACAACAGTATCAGTTAACGTACGCTTTAGACGCGCCGTGGTCGCGGTTAATATCAGGTTCAGCTGATGAGACTAGAGCCAAGCTATGTTATCTTATCGCCCTGCATGACATGGGTATAATTTTCATGAGCGCCTCCATGACTTGATGTATCTACCCGCCAATCTTACACCAAAAGGTACCCGGCACACTAAGTTTAGGGAGCCTGCACCCGTTGTAATCTCTCCTGTTCTGTCCCTGGCACGATTACCTTACAGTGAGTAACAGTGACTCCTGCACTTCTATTTCCATCCAACCCATGCGCATATGCATGCATACACTTACTTATTAATTAAAGGAACAATCAATAGGCGCAATAGAGTTTGATCTTTTCATCTCTATTGTCTAATTCTTGAACGCCATTTCTCAACGTCCGTTCGTCTCTTACAGTTCATTAATCTTCGATATTTAGTTTCAACGGGAAGAGGTTAGCGATCAATTGTCCGACTTTCGGCTTGCTGTTGGTTGCACGCACATTCATGCAACTCTGTGCCTCGCGCGCATCCTTCAGCCTTGTACGCCATCCCATCGCCCGCCAGACGGAGGAACGAATAAATAAACGAACGAACGAACGTACAACGAACCGATCACAAGAACAAGCGAATAACCAAGCCCGTCTTTATACGTGGGGTTATTTCGAGTGTACTGGTGATTCTTGGCCGCATCCACTTGATCAGGAATCGAGCTCCCTTTTACCAACAGCATCAATAAGCTTCATTCGTCTGCCACCAGCTTCAATTGCTGCAGCAAAACTCTAGCCGCAAAGGCTTGATTTCCTCACAATGTCTGGGCGACCGACAACACCGGCCTCGCCTAAGAACATCAAGGTGAAGTCTCCGGTCCCCGGATCACCAATGTTCGGCTGTGGTATGTCCACCCAAAGCTCTGTCTGTATCATTGTCTAATTGTCTCTAGAGCATGTACAACTCCTCCTCAGCAAGAATCAGGAGGTCATGAACAGCTCGATCACGCACTACAAGTTAATCCTTCGCAACATCTTCGATGCCACACCCATCGTCCCCCAAACCTCAACACAAGAGGGCCGACCCGTTACAACGCTTACCTCGAACTACCTCTGCCTACAATGTCCGATGACCGTGTCCGAGGAAGATCGATTGAAACATGGAACTAAGAAACAGCACCGTTTCTGTTAGTAGCCTTGTACTGCTGCTTTCTGCTGCCTGCTTTGCTAACCCTGGCGCAGATGTTGACTCGCGGAGCGGTTGCCTGTATTGTCAGATGTGCGACGATTTTGTCTGGGACCCAACTCTCGAGGAGCTTCGAGTGAGAAAGATAGGAACCGGCTCTTTTTCTGGTAAGCGATCATGCACGGAGATGCATCAAGTCAAGGGTCATCCATACGCGATACCGAATGAGAATGAATGGCTGTGTCCTTGGCTGCTGTGTTGCTCGTGGATGCTTTTCTGTCGCCTGAAATTAACTGTTGGCCAGGCCGTAAGAGAAAACACAATGAGCTCTTCTCAGATTCCATGAAGGATGACCCTCGGTATATTACTAACAATACTACAACCGCCTCCTGTCGTGCAAACGGCCTGCGCGGCATCTACAACGCCGGTGCGACCTGCTATCAGAATGTTGTTCTCCAAAGCTTCCTGCACAACCCATTACTCAGGAACTTTTATTTAAGCGATGGTCACCAGAGCAATGATTGCCAGGTACCTCACTGTCTGAGCTGTGCAATGGATGACATGTTCCAGGATTTCTACGCCCTAGAGAACACTAATGGTTATACTGCTGCCAATATCCTGTCGGGTTTCTGGATCTCGGAGAAAAAAGCATTCGAAAATCTTGTCACCACCAAAGAACAAGATGCGCATGAGTTCTTCCAGTTCTTAGCTGAAGAGCTTCATGAACGAAATGGCGATGGCAAAAAGCCTGAGATCGGCAGCGAACATAGTTGCAACTGTATCATGCATCAGACATTCTACGGTAAGATGCAGACAACAACAACGTGTCAGAATTGCTCAGGTCAGAGTAATTCCATCCAGTCATTCCTTGATTTGAGTCTTGGTCTCGAAAATGTCGTCCAGAAGAAGAGCAAGAGGACTGGTCAGAAAAAGCCTTCCCTAACCTTACAGGATTGCTTGGACGAAGAATACATCAAGTATGACAAGTGCGAGTATCGGTGCAACAACTGCAACGGGACTCAACAAGCCAAACGACATACCAGCATTAAGCGGCTGCCCAACGTTTTGTCAATACAGCTCAAGGTGAGTGTTGTTGGTAGCTTGTGGGTGTTGGTCCGCCAAGTTAACTCTATCACAGCGCTTTGAGTACAGACATGGTCGACACGATCGTGCCGCATCAAAGGTCGACAATGAAGTCAAATTCCCTCTTCAACTCAACATGTTGCCTTATACAAATCGCGTTCGCAACCACGAGAGCCGTGAAAGCCTTGAGTTGGAGCGATCATGCACATATGACCTCCTTAGTGTTGTGGTTCATGTGGGTGAAATCGACACTGGTCATTATACATCATACTGCCGAGTCGGCGACCAGGTAGGTTTTATTCTTTACGACACTGTATCAGAAGCTAACATATCTTTCAGTGGTTCAAATTTAATGACCACAAAGTCGAGTTGGCGAGCTTGTCTGACGTGCTTGGCGCCCAGGCCTATCTCCTTTTCTACATTATTCGCTCGCTGGCCTAGGCAATGAATCTTGTACTTGTATGTAGACGGGGGCTCAGATTAGGAGAACCAGACAAGCGTTAATGGTCATGACCAGCAAGTCAGCTGGATCCATATATCAGCAACAGGTTGAGCGGCGTATGAAGCATTGCTCGGCGCATATATTTTGTTTAGTAATACCGTGGCAGCCTACTGAATAGGACAGTCCATGGTCTCTCTTCAGATCTATCTCTTCATCTAACTGTGACGACCTTCATTGGCTTTGGCACATCCGCAGATATTCCAATAAGTCATCGTGCCTTGGGTCATGTTTCGCAGTCTTGCTTATTCTTTCAAGAGCTTGAGACGGTACCAGCAGCGGGTGTCTTCTTTCAACACCTCGCATCTTCCCTTCCATTTCATTAATCCGATTCATCAGAACGCCAGTCCCAGGTTGAGCTCTCAAAATTGGCGTAGCAGTAATAGTGGTTACTTAAACCCGCGTGAGCAGGCTCGAAGGTTGTCGCATAGACTCCAAGAGAGCGGTAGAGCTTGTCGACAATGGTAGCCATTCGTTCTCCCGTGCAGACAATCACACGGGGAGACTTTGGCTTGACGAGCCAGCGGCCTGTTAGGGCAACTAGTGGGTGACATGTCAGTAGTGGAATGGGAGGATTTAGATGGTCATACGGAATGAGGTAGCATCCAGGTAGTGGCTAGGACGATTATGTGAGCATTACTTACACTTTGTCTGGCAGTCATTGCTGAAGAATGGAGGATCAATGATAACACTATCCAAGCTGCCCTTCAGATGAGCTGAGACAATATAGTATTAGTATATGCCGAAAGCAGTACTCAACTAGGAAAAGGAAAAGCGGGCATACCTGGAAGTTGGAGAGGTCGCTGGAAGTCATAGAAGACGAACTCGGGAAAGACACTGAATCGGTGGTCATGTTCGAACAAGACCAGGTTGGGTCGGTCTTCAATAGGCCAGAATCTCTGTGTCCCAGTCAGTTTCTGGATTCTACATATCAAGTCCTGGGCATGATAGAAGTCAGGGATGATCTTACAAGACGGTTCTTGAGTGCAATGAATACACTCGGTGTCGAAACCACACCTATAGTCGAGCTTGACGATGCGCCATCGAGGAGCTGATCAGCCAGAGCAGAGGCTGTTTCGTCGAGGAACTAGATCGCCAGGCCCATGTTAGTATTTCTTTCCCGATGTCAATATCATGAAGTTGTAGCGCCAAGACCAGCCCAGTACGTAATAGATACCCCAACTCCAGACAGACACAGACTCTATCCCAGAAGCCGATCGCGAATGCCATCTCCACCGCCAGAGCCAAAAGGTGAAAGACAACTGGACGAGAGGAGCGTCTTGTGCTTTGTTTTGTTTCGTGCATGTCGCTTTACGTACCCAAAACTGCGATTCGTTCCAATCCTCCGTGAACGCCGCCATGCTCAGCGGTTGGTCATCCGCATCCTCCGCTATAGGGTCCTCGTCTTCCGGTTCGACGACACCGAGTCCGGCTCCAGCTCTCGGAGCGGCGCCGGTCCTCAACTTCTCAAATGTCTTTTCATGGGCGTCCTTTTCGGCGTGGAACTCGGCCAACGCGGCCAAGGCGTGACTCGAGAGGCTTCTGGAGACCAGCTAAAGTAAGTAAACTGGGCCCTGTAACGTGGGTGGCATGGATGCTTTGTATCTCTTACATGGGCTCTTCATCATCAAAAGACATCGGGATGCTGTCGTTAAAACGTATATTTTCGGTTTTGATACACGGTCGATTACGGAGACTCGGCGCTTCGATGCGATAGAAGGTTTTGTGTGAGGGTTTGGCGGGGTCCTCTTTGCTGCACACTGCTTCCTCGACGGTCTAGACTCTCGCTACCTATAAAAGAGCAGCATGATGATGGATAGCTACAGGGTAGCCATATGTGGACTGATTCTCTCGACCTTCATATTATCTGATATCATCTCAACCCAAAGAAAACCTGTACACAATTGTTCGAACTCGCATACTCTCTAGTCTATGCGGTCCTATATACACGGACTATTGTCGAATTGTCCGCTCAGCCGTGAATCACCAGCCGCCTTTCCAGCATCCGCAATAAGCAAAAATTCAATTCATTTTCTTTACAACTCATCCAAGACATGGATGTACTTCTTCTCTTCCCTCTTCTCCTTCTCTGTCGCAGGGGGAAGATCGTAGAAGTTCTGACTTCGGAATCCTTGCTAAAAAGGTGTCAGTTTGTGACTTTCACGACCATGACAGGGGGGCACTTACCAAGTAGTGGTAGGTGAAGTTGATAATGTCGCCAGGCTCAATACCAAGATCCTTAAAGGTCTTGGCCTCAGGGTCAATGACCTGGTCCAAGTACTCTCGCTCAACCTCATCGGCTGACAGAGTGTGCCACCAAAGGAACTTGTTCAAGATCTCGGCAACGGGCTTAAGGATGGCCTTGGGCACGTTAATGTGTCGTCGCTGCTTATAAATTTCCTTATCAACCATAACGGAAATCTCCTCCATGCTGTACTTCTTGGGTCCGTAAAGCTCGAAAGTCTGTCCAGCAGTTGTGTCGTCGTAGAAGATCTTCTCAAGAGCAGCACCAACGTCGATAGACTGTGGCGGTTAGTCACGTTGACCATAAGCACTCTAGTAAAAACCTACGTGAACGGGGTAGAACTTCTCCTGCATGTTGTTGGAGGTGAAGAGGTTGGTGACACCAGCAAGCTTCAGCAGCAGGTTGTCCTCGAAACCGAAGATGGGCGCAGGTCGGACAATAGTGGTCTCAGGGAAAAGTTGTCGGGCAACCTCCTCAGCTCGACCCTGACTCATTTGTTAGCATTTCCCTCCATCGATCAGGCTGACGATCTACAAACCTTCGTTCGGTAGAACTCGGAGACGGACTGAGAGTTGGCGCTGTGGGAGGAAACGTGGATATATCGGTCGACATCGTACTTGCAAACAGCCTCGACAATTCTCTCAGTTCCCTCAACATGCACATCCTCCAAAGAGAAGTTCCTGATAATCATTTAGTCCCCATCCTATCCATTGGCCCATATCATATTGACGTACTTGGTAGGATAGTCGCGGCCAATCAAGTTAAAAACGGCATCGGAGTGTCGAACGCTCGCCTCGATCGAAGGGGTGTTTCGAAGGTCGTGCTCCTAGTACGAGGGTTACTGAAAGGTTCCTCAACATATCGGGACGAATTGAGGCGTACGATGAAGACAACACGGCCAAGATCTCCAGTGAC